GTCGAGGACATCTGAGAGAGGCCGCACTGGGATGTTTTGACAAAGCCCTGGCCTTGTCCATGATGACAAAAGAGAGGCACGTATGGAAGGATCTCTATATACTAGACATCTCTCATTTCCTCAGACGATCCAAAGCAAATTTATCATGAACAAAATCATAAGATCTCAGGGTTGTCACCACGTGTTGCTCTCATGGAGAAACACCAGAAAACTGTCTGTGGTCATCAGGCTGTCTGGTATCTCGGGGGCTCAGGGTGAGACAGTGATAGGTGTTACGAGCAAGAACCAGACCTGCAGGAGGCCACTACAGGCGGTGAGATGACCAATAATGTAGAAAAAAAGAGGTCCTGGGATTATAAGAGGTCAAACTGACTGAATTTGAGATTCAATAGATGGTGTGGGATAATGAGGAGTGTGACGGAGGGGCATATGGAGCAGAGCCCGACATGTGCAAAAACATGTGGAAATCATTTACAGGCTTAACAGGCCACGATCTTCAAACTCAGGGAGATTCGCAGGGATCGCAGGTCACGTTATCACATCCGCATATAATGGATGTGCTGTGAAAATAAGGATGATAACATGTATGTGTGTGGGTATAATAGGTTCCTGTGTGTGCACATGATTGCCTACTGTATGGCAGTGCATATGTGTTCGTGCGCTGTAATGTGATTTGTGCACCCTGCTACACATACTGTAATGTATATTGAAAGAGCTGTATGTGTGTTTAACTCAGAGTTTTTCTCTCATTAGACTCTTCCCTTCCTCTCATTAGTGGCTCCCTCTTGTCCCTCCCTTGTTTTTTTGTGTTTGTTTTCTCCCTCTCTCCTGCTGTATAGATGTGTGCAGGGTGCAGAACAAACTGGCGGGCAGAGAAAAAAAAGCACCTGGCCACACTGAAATCCCATCACAGTGGGGAAGGGGGAATAAAGGCTCCTGAATGCTCCCTGGGGCCTCTGTCGACAGAGTGACATGTCTTAGAGCTCGTCTGTTGGCCTCCTGCTGTTACAACATCCTACACTGCGTACAGACCAAATACCAATCACAGACCTTATGGGTCTAAATAAAAAGATCAGTAATGGAAATTAAGTGATATCGCCTATGATGCAGAAATAAAGTCATGTTGTCTATGATGCCATTTAACAGACAAATGTTGCAGTAATGAACATCTGTTCAGGAGCTAATTTGTATTCCTTATGCTTAACTAAATGGTTCCTAACAGCAGCCAAAGCAGCCATCAATCTAAGAGAGTAAATAGTAATCTAAGTGTGGCTTTTACTTTAACATAATATTGTGTGAATGCCTATTGTGTAGGCTGAATGTTGACATTTTGGTCTCCCTTTCTCTTTTTCTTATTTTCTCCCACTCTCTCTCCCTCTTTCTGTTACTGCAGCCCAATGCAAATCTTCCTTCATCTTTGTTTGCACAATACACAATGCAGCGAAAGCCTTGAGGGGGTGTGTTTGTTTTGTTTTGCTTTGTGTCTTGTTCCAGCGCAGAGGACAGTCATCCAGTCATCGGCATGGCTGTTCCCCACGTGCGCTGTTAGTCAATTAGAGCTGCCATTAAAGACAGAGGCACCCAGGGAAATAAAGGCAGCGGTGTGGATTTGTCTGTGCTACGCTGATTTCCACCCTTAAACCCTCTCCAGACGAAGAGGCTGCAATAATTGGGATTCTGACAGTGGGTTAGGGGGACTCATTTCCTGCCTCCCCTCCTCTTTTCCATGTAATCATGTCTATCCAATCATGTCTGCCCAGCACCTACCTTTGCACTAGATCCCCCTTACTCTCTTTATCTACAACCACATTTGGCTGAAGAATTACTTTCCTCTTTAATCTAATTGCTCTGGGTGCAAGTGCAGGAACCCCGCTTCCAACCAGCTACAACCCACCATTTACGCAGACCTCACCAAGAGACTGACATTAAAAGAGGCGCTAGTGTTGTTCCAAATTATCTACACCGTGACCTCAAAATGCTTATCAGTCATGTGACTTACTGACTCGCTGTGGGGCCTGTTGTGCATGTTCAGCAGAATTCGATACGTCCATTGTACAGTCTAGCTGGATCTCGGAATAGTGTCACTGCCTTTGAGTGTGGAGGTATAAACCTGATTGTTTCCCGGCATCAAAACAGTTTTTTCACACAAATATTCCCGCTGCACATAAGTGGAAGAGTGCATAGAATATGTAACAGTTGCACTTTTGTATCCACTGTCTTGCTGTGTGATGTTATGTGGTGATTCTTATCCCTACAAATCTGGGCCACACCGACTGCACTGCTTATAAACTACACTGCTAAAGTCATTAACAAAAACATAACCAAAAGATGAATCAAGCTGTGACATAGTGTCTTCCTCTAAATCTTCACTGCTCTATAACACGAGCCACGCTCCCACAGTCGAGACCCTTGAACTCCCTATAGCATGGGGTTAGATGATCAGATTACAGTGAAAAAACACAAATGGGCATTGTTAAGGGAGTTTGCGATTTCACCCATGAACATGGCTCTCATTGTGCCCCACTGAAGAGAATGCTTTTCATCCTGGAGTCAACAACAAGGGCAAACAGGACCTCATGTGTCTCTGTGGTGCACCATCTCCTTAAGGCTCTGAGGGGAAGAAGGGTCTCTCTTTTCAGGGCTGTCTCTGCTGAAAAGCCCTGGTGTGGTTCCCTCACTCCCAGCGCTTCTTAGAGAGGAAACTTAATCTCACTTGTAAGACAATCGCAGAGAAAAAGGCCTCAGCAATTTGATGTAAGCACCCGCCTGTACTGTCAATATTTTGACAGATTTCATGACAGCATAATTATTTGCCAGGATTCCTGCCAAGGATTTAATTGTTACATGCGTAATTACACGTTTAGTTGCAGAGATGTTGGAACAAAGCAATGGTTGCGTTATTAATATTACAGTACAAATAGTCTCTTTCATCTTCGCTGCTCCACAATCCAGCTATGAAAGGGGATATCTTCCAAACCCTCCGAGGGCACCTCTCACAAATCAATTCATTACCCCATAATATCGCCAGGCAAAGGCGCATCTTTCATAAATCAATTCATTAACCGACTTCTGGCAGTTGAAAGGCGGCGACTGACCACAGTTTCAAGCACTGATATCGGCTTTCAGAGTTTGGGAAGATGACTAGAGAGCAGATCAACTTGTGGCAGTCTTCAATCAAAATGGGCTTCTGAACAACAGGGGAACCACAGAATAATATCCCTTTTTGACTGTAATGGTTTTATTTTCTTTCTTGGTAAAAGACACACTTCCCTGTTGTTTCCACTGAGGCTCATAACTATTGTATGGAGCCATAAAAATACATCTCCGTGCGTAGCGTTTTGCTGCATTCCACAGCTGCACTCTCAGATAATGCATTCTTTTCATAAAGCTTTAATATTCAGTCACTGCATCAAGTGATCGGGGAAGACCAAGCGACAAAGAGAACGGTGGAAATCTGTCTGTGTTCTGTCAGAGTCACTATCTCTGAGCCCTGCACTGCTCAAATCTATAACATTCACTGCAGTGGGGGGTGATGTAGAAGAGAGCATGCAGTCAGTGAAGCTTTTCTTCTGGTGGACGTTGGCTAACAAAGCCAGTGTACAGCAGGCATGGAGAAATAAACAGGAGGGTGGTCAGGAAGGGAAGGTAAAATGCTGCATTTTTTCAGTCAAAAAGTCTCATGCCCAGCAGCGCGAGGATATAAATGAATCAACATGCTTTCCCTGTTGCACTGACAGCATTTAATTGTATAATCCTGTTTAGCACAAAAAAAACCATGACAGAGGACACCCCTGAGATGTTTCAATCCACCACATGCAGTGAATTACATGTAGGTCAAAAAACAAGCAGATTTGTGTAATTATGTGGGACTGTGGATTCAAAGTAGCTTGCTACAGCAGAGTAGCTATCTTCACATGCCTCTTATTGGTCTGTATTCCTTGAGGAGGAGCTGGTGCCTGTCCTCATTAGTAGTCATTGAGCGGGGGCCTGGCAGTGTTTGTGAGGCAGCACCCATCACGTTTCCCCTCCCAGCACACAGACACTGGGGGATGTGTTGTAATTACAGGCGCACATAAGAAAGGCAGCAACACACCGATCTAAAATGCAGGTGGGTGGTTTGTTGCACGGCACAGGTAAATGTTGGGTACATTGATGTTTTGAAAAGCCAAATCGATTTGCCTGTGAGGGATTCCAATTGATAGGTAAATGCTGGCAATTTTGAAAACGATCCCCTTTGTCCTCATGGATGGAAGGAGGCATTATACCAACAAAAGGTCAGCACAGAAACTTTACAGGATGAAAATTGTTGTTTGTATCTTCTTGGAATTTCTGTTAAGCAGAGTTCTGTTAAATATGCATAGAGCGGTGCATCTATGTTAGGAAAGGCTGACATGTTCTTACTCTTTTTTTGAAAATAAACATTCAAATGAAAGGAAGAAAGACCCTAAACATACCGTGCTTGCCCAATTACACTTTTAATGCACCCCTTTTTATACAGACAAAAAGATTATAATATTTATGTCATAGATTGGAGGTTGTAGATGTGCTGTGTGGTCCACAGGAAGAAAAGTCATAGATAATTTGTTCACTGACAAGCTGTTGTGATTTGCAACCTAACACCTGTGATGAGTAACTCCCATCATTTATGGTAGCTCAGAACTGAACTAACAACATGCAAAGTGCGGTGTATGTTTGATAAAAAATAAAGAAAATAAAGAGCAAGGGTTGATATGAAAATATGGTGATTGCTTCAGTTTAATAATTTAAGCCCAGAAAGTATAGCTTCCATAATGTCTTTTAATAAAAACCATTTATAACTAGCTTATACTATCAGTTGTATTAATAGATCCCTGGAACAGCTTACGGTGAGGGCACTATCAGACATAAACACTGTATAGATTGTATCTTTTAGTGTTTGGATAACGCTGTTGTGATGGCAGAGCAGACTGATTCATTAGGCTTAGCAGATTTAATGCAAACATTATAAGAGCAAAACATACCTCGACAAACAGTCCCGTTCTCCACAGCCTCATTCCCAGCTTTGCACATGCAGCGTCCGATGGGTACCATCCATTCTCCGTCTCCGTTGCAGTACAACTTAATGGGCACATCCACCTCCTCTGCGTTAGGGATGCAAACGCCTCTAGCAGCCACCAGGGAGGTGCTCTCTGCTCCTGAGAGTGTCTCCTGGAACAACGCCCCGTTCGTGATGATACGGGGGCACTTCCGGTAAAAGACGCGGACAGCGATGAGCGACATACAGCCACCGTAGTCCTGGAAGGCCAGGTAGAAGCCATTTCGTGACACAGGGCCGAAGCTCCGAACCTCAGTGTTGATCTTCATCACTCTGCCCCCTAGGTCCACCTGGGAGAAGCTCTCATCTGCTGCAATGGTGTCAACTTTGATCCAGGGGTTCTCCATCCAAGCTGGGGAGTTTCTGGTGGCTGTGTCTGCATCAGATTCATAGTAATAGAGGTTAAACGTCTCTTTACATGAGCCCGGCACGTTTGGAATGCTACTGCAGTCCCTAACCGAGAACTTCATCTCCACATGGATCCGCTGAGCACCACGACGCCGGATGTACTTTGTCCGTACCCAGTTGTTCTGATTGTTGTTGAAAACATTGCACACCTGGTACGTCCGGATGGTGTTCATGTTTTCGTCGTAACCGCTCACCTCCTCCCACTGTTGGCCAAGGACAGACATAAACATATTTACGTGTGAGTACAGAATTTTATGAAAAAACAAAACAAAAAAGAATTGGCAATTGAGGCACATAGTTTGCCTGATTCATTCAATTAAGTGCAATTCAGCTGTAAAGCAGCAAATTGTCTGCATGTTTCCTATTAATATAAATTGTCATAAAGCCCCGCTGATACCTATTTTGCAGTAATAACAAGATTCTTTTCACGCACACTTTATAATACTTTGATTACTGTGAGTAATCAGCTTAAGGCAATATTTTGATTAAATTGATTACATGGTACAAAGCAACATAATATCTCTAATGACACTGTCTCCATGAATGCACGGGAAGAAATGAGAAGCGGTCTTTCCAGCATGTTCTCCCATTTCTTGAGGTAATACTGGTATGTTAACAAGGCTACTTATAGGGTACTTACTCTAACCCTTACTGCAAATGATTTAGTCAAGTATGTGAAGTTGTTTTACATAATAATAATAGTCTGAAGAATTAGTTATTTTAGTGAGAAACAACACATTGTGGTTCACTATTTGGGGCTTATGTGGTAAATGAAGAAAGAAATCCAAGAGGTGCATTCTTAATCAGAACAGCTGCTCTCACATAACTGAATGAGTTCCAATTTTGGGACATTTTTCGGACTGAGTGTATGAACTGGGTGTCATCTGTTACCTGGCGGGTAAATCCAACAAAGGGAGGGTGGCATTATGTAGGTGTCATTTAAGACTCTACTTGGCTTACAGCATCAATCAGTTTGCCTTTTTTGATATTTTCAAAATGTGCGATGCATGGTGCAATTAATGGTTAAAAATGTATCATGGTATGCTTTGTAGAGGCAGACACCTTTGAAGTGTACCGTCTCTTTTCCTCTCATTGAGCAAACCATTCACATCCTGTAATGCTTTAAGAGAAACTGGAGACGTGACATTAAGTCACTTGAACAGAACAGAGAGGTTCTGGTTTATGTGCTAGTGTGTCCTACATTTTTATTGTGTCTTAATAGGACACATTCATAGCACATACTGTAATGGGTTATTGACATTGCAGTGAAAGCTCCTTTCATTACAGTGAAGCACTGAGGAAACATGACATGAATTTTCCACAATCAAAGACAGGCTAAACTGAGTGTAATCATATTACACAGGTAATCATATAAAAAATAATCAAGGGGCAAATTTCACCCCAGGTTTTCTGGGTATTCTGTTCTACTTCAAAGTCCACATATTGCACACCAGTACTCACGCTGACTACAGACTCCAGATGCAACCTCTGTGGTTTTCCTGCCCCTTGGCAATGGATCAAACCAGCTTTAAACACCATGCGCTCTAACCACCGAGAAGGTCACGACCTTGACCTCGGCATCTCAGCTTAGGAAAAAACCCTGTTCTCAACGCCAGAGAGCCACTTTGCATCAGCAGCACCCTCTAGTGCTTCCACCGCTTTACCTCCCCCCTTCACTCTTCACTTCACAGCTGATATAATTTCTCAAATTAGTGCCCACTTAGTGAGGATTTTGACAGATTTTGACGGGTAGGGAGAAGAAAGTTACCCCTCTTGTTGCAAACCGGCATTTTATCAAACACTTTCTGACTAATTAAAACAGCTTTAGTTCTTAATTCCCATGTCCTAATTAATCACTGCTAGTGTGATGCTGGCTTGACCCAAACCCAAATCCGAACCATCACACGAGCCAACCTAAACAGAAAAGACTGATGTGCAGCCAAAAATAATAGTAATAATGAGAATAATTAGAATGAAATTTATCAAAAAGCTATATTAATAACTTCTATATCTGAATCTTGGGCCACTTACAAAAAAACTGCTAACAATTGGCTTTAATGTTAAATCAGAGTAAAGACATTTTCATAGTAAAATTGCCAATTTAGCTATGTAAATTTAAAGAATACCAGACTACATGTGAATGCACCATCACTCCAAAGTGATGAAATGTGGTCTGATTTATTGTCTAGCTATAAAACCACACAAATGAATCAATTATTACACAATTATACAAGCTACAGGTTGTTGGGGGTATGGCTGAAGGATAAATCTGTCTTTTGGCCCGAACTGGCAGACATCATCATCGCAGGTCATGAGCAGCCATTGACCTTCCCACTTGTTGAGGAGCAGTGGGGAGGCTGTGGGCCAATTAAACGAGAACGGACAGTCCGCTTCTACTGAGCACAGAGCGTTGGACAATCGCAGTTTAAAAAAATGAATGTGGAGACAGGTGGGGGTTGCTGCTAATGAGGGATGCAGACAGGGGAAACTGCAGGGGAAAGTGTTGGCAGTGATGTGGGGGGAAGGGTTGAGCCAGGCTAAAAAAGACCCCAAACAAAATGTGTTTTGATGGAGGGCCCCTTTTTGTCCTGTCATGGCCTCTTTGCCCCGCTTTCATCACAGTCAGTGGAGGGAAGCAAATGGGGCATAATAAGAGCCTAACGATCAAGCGCAGAGTGTGAAATTAGAAGAAACGTCTTCATTTTCACAGCTCTTTCCCCTGGCTCTTTACACAGAGTGCTGTAAAAGGGTGGTCATGTGTTTTAAGTACAGAAAGTGGAGGTAACCCTGGTGGTGGATGTCACGATAGATTAGTTAGAGGGAATGAACTGCTCTCAGATGATGATGGAAACAAAAACTCCAGCTTATTTTACCGAGATCCTGTTACATTTAGCAAAATGTTGTTTTTCTTGTTCTCGGAGTGTGGAAATCCACAGCCAAAGGGCTGAGTGCATTAGTGCATTAGTATAACATAAACAACATAATAAAACATAACCAAAAAAAAAAAATAGATGTTTAAGACCGGAATGATCAAAGGCATTTTCCAAACAACCAAAGGCACATCAAATATTATCAAGAGCTAATTTGCATTTGTGAAATATTTTGGGTATATTTTTATATACATATTTTTGTTATTAGACTTAAGACTGTAAGGTAAATAGCAAGGCTTTTTCGTAGCACACTAGATGGCCTTCCTTCCTCTGTGAAAAAAACACACAAACATCCTCTTCCAATAAAAAAAATCAATGATGTGAAACTGAACGTGTGACTGGCTCCAAACAAAAAGACACTGTTTTATGTTTTAATTGCTCTTGTTGGCGTCCTGAGTCCAATAATGCTGGCTTGAATAGAGTTGTCAAGTCATTTTCAAAGTTTGGTTTACCCTGCTGGGTGTTACCTATCCATTATTACGAGCAAACTGAAACAAATACTTGATATGCACCTGCATATGATATTTGATGCCAGAAGTATGTGACTCTCAACAGAGCCTTTATAACTATATTAGCAAACATGACAGTTTTAGTGCTACTGCCAAAAAGTCAGTTGTTACAGTGCACATCTACTGTTTAGATCATGCACGTTAGATTTAGATTAAGCAGTCATGTGTCCACACCGCCTTTGTACCCAAAACAAATTCCTTCACCTTTATCATCCTGCCAGTTAAACTGATTTGCAACTGTTCCAACTGTTGTCAGGCAATCTCTGCTTTGTTAATAAAACTACTTTCCCACACCAGCCTTTGGTCCACTGTGCCTGTAATTTATATTATGCTAGAGCGCAGTAGTACTGAGAGACAAATGCCCTGCAAACCTGTCTGAAGTGAATATAGATTGTGGTGGTTAGACTATAGCTGGGCTAGTAGAAACTACTATATTTCAGCTGCTCCTCTCTTCCTCTGGTGTTATACGAGGTGTTACAGTTCAGTGACGCTCACTGAGAATGAGCTTCAGAATCAATAACTCCTCTGCCACTCCAGGAGAGAAACAGAAAAGTTCAGCTGACCTGCAATCCATACGTCTCTGTGACAGTAGAACTCTGCTTCATCTGTAAAGTCAAGCGTAACACACTGTCAAGGCTGAATTATAGACTAGAGTTGCCTCTCCAACTGAGGCAATTCACCAAAGACAGCTTTTTGCCTCAATCACCAGTCGAAATGAAAGTCCTCCTTGGACCTCTTTGTAGCAACTAATTACCAAACTCCTCTGTAAGCACACATTATTCAGGAGCTACTGTTCACTCTCTTATTCCATTTAACTGACATTTTAATCCAAATTGGTTTACACTAGGTGAGCACACAAAGGCTCTGTGTTCAGTGCTCAAGAACACATAAGTCATGCATTTGTATACAGACCTTAATTACATGTACTGCATTAAGGTGATTGACAACAGCTCTATTGACTCAAAAGATAAAATCAAAAAAACTGGTAATCCAAGATAAAAACAATGAACAACTCAAACAAAATCCTCATTTAAAACAGGGGAAGAAACCTTGAGATTGGCCTTTTATTGAAGGATATCCACATTCAACGTCAGTGAGCCAAGCATCTAGTCAAGAGTCAGACAAACAGACACGTGGCTTTTGATTTGTCAGTTGTTATATTGCTCTGTTGGGACTACTATGCTCTTACAATGCATTCATACTGCAAGCAACACAATCAAGTTGTCAGAATTCTCCATTTCCTGTACATCTGCGCAACCAGAAAGACTTTGCCAATGTGCAGACGGTCAACAAGTTTACTGGCTGCAAAAGAGTCGACCACAACTACACTCTTCGTGGCCAGTGGTCGTCAACACTCAGCCAAATTTTTGATAAATTGATCTGTCTGGCAAATAGAAATGGAAGAGTTGTTGACGGTTGTTACAGTCATATCCGTTTAAATGACTGTAAAACTCTTGTTTGGAAAACTAAAGGAAGAATCACCCCAAAACAAATGACTGCATCCATTACTGCATCTATCATTGAGGTCAACTGTAATTTAAGAGGTTATTATATAGCTTTTATATTCTATTACTGCCTTTTTACTAATCCAGACTTGGTTACTTTATGATAGGCAAAGACAAAGCAGAAATAAACACAACATGTATATATACATAAGTCTTTTAGCTACCGCTGCAAAACACAACTACAGTCGGCCTGTTTCTTTATCCCACAATTGATCAAAAAAGAATGACACATCAGTCAAGTGTGAACGCACTGTCAGAACATTTAGAGATTTAACGGTTTCATTGTTTTGACATAACATGAACTGTGTATTTATCACGTCTTGTCATTACAGTGTTTGAATTAACCTGAACTAGCTTCACGAGCCAGAGCCACATCACTTATCACCGCTCTATCACTGACAGAAGTAAATAAATTATTCACACAAAAGCAGGGAGAGAGACCCTGCAGAAAACTCTCAAGGCACAGTTGCCCCATTTGCAGTTGTGGGAAATCTGTCAGAGCAAGAGTGCCTTCCCTGAAGGGACAGAGGACAAATGACACCCACTCTCTGCATTCAATTACTACGAGAGGGGCCATGGGAGCCAAATCCTGCAGGAGACCAGGCTTCATAGAAAGGAGAGACTCACACACACACACACACAGACTTAAGTAGAACTGTCTGTTGCAGTCAGCTCCAATTACCACTGTCCACTACTAATGCACAACATGTGAAACTAAAAGAACAATTCCATCTTTAACCCTATTCAATGTCACATGTGGATTGTGTTTGCATATTTCTTTGCTTAATTCTTAAAATATAATTTCACAGACTTTAATTGTGAATCACAGTCACAAATTAGTGGTCACTTTAAATCCCAATGAGTCCAATACAATGAAATATGTTCAACAAATTACTGGTAAAGAAAAAGAAAGCCTATGTGAAAAGAAGTATGCTGGCCTGCCACACATGCCCACAATTATACGTAAACAACCTCAATCTTATTCCAAAGGAATTCTAAGACAATATGCAGCATATTTGATCAATCACAACCAACCGATTTGTTTCAAAACCCTTTGCAATATCCTCTTGCATATTGCCTTTCCTGCAAAACTTTCTTGTGTGGTGTGTCCCCAAGTGACACTAGATATATCCTAGTACAGCACATTATGACACATCCGTAATGATAACCTAACCCACACACACCACCTCATTATGTTCTCCGCCTATGCAGGAGACCTCAGTTTTTCTTCCACAGTAGCTCTATGTGCTCCCTGCGGCCATAAGTCTGTTTCTAAATGGCTACTGTTGTCGGTACTTCAGCGCAGGAGAGAGCAGGTCAGGAGGTCTGACCTGATGTTCACACGTCTCTCAGCTCCACTTGAGAGAAAAACATTGACCACTTAACCCTGCTCTGCTAGCCGGCTATACATTAGCTCCATGTCACATAGAAGATTCTCAATGGGTCTCTGAGTAATGTTAAAGGAGCTACACAAGCTTCTTTGCAAATGTTGAGTTTGTATAAGAAGCCATGTGCATGGCATTAGTAGTAGTAAATGGAAAACTGTGTTTTGTTGGTCAGTTACAGAAATGCAAACTTGTTGTGATGTGCAGATAAGCATTAATATTGTTATATCATTTTTGTGTGCTCTGTGAGCACTTGGGGTTAAGTCTTCACAAAGTTGCCCAGAGACACACATCTACATTATAGGCCAACTATACTGACAGCAACAGTTCCCCTGTGTGGGTGGAGAGAGGCATGTGATGTGTGTGTTTTATTGCCAGAATCTCACACTGTTAGTCAGAAGACAGTAAACTTCCTAAACTGCCCCGGGATAAATTCTGGTTTGGTAAATATTACATTGGTTGTCTTTGTTTTCGGCATTGCTATCAAGCATAATGAAGATGTCTTGCTCATCTGGCTCAGGGACATAACATAAGTCTGGCTGTCATTCTACATAATTAAAAGGAAGAATTGCTTGGCTATACAAAGAGAGGCTTATAAAACTTGATTTACGGAAGCTGAAGTGTAATATTGTTTTACACAAATCACTTCCACAAACTGCTGTAGGAAGTTGGTTTTATAACTTGAAAACTTGAATAAGTTTCTTATAATAATAATTTGATAGGCAATATTCAAATATGCTGTAAAATAAAAGTGGAATAACACCAACTGCCATAACATTTCTGACTTAATATCACACTGTTGCTTGTTTGCGTTTCCATTGTGTCGCAAAGTATCACATGTCAAGTTAGGATATATTTCATGAAGCTATACAGAGTAGTGAAAGCCAACTGCTGGTGCGGCACTCTGCTGGATGTTACTGATCCACCAGCTAAGCCCATGAAGCCATGCATATATGTGTGTAAGACAATAGCTTCTGTAAAGCACCTCTTGCTGTTATACTGAGTAGGAGCGCAAGCTCTGTTTCCACACCTGTTGCCCTGGGCCATAAGGGACATGCTATCTCCATCGCTCTCACTCTTCGCTTTCCAGTGGACTGTGCTTTTGACAAGCTCCGCCGTATCATCTTAAAACTTCAGTGCCCACGCTGATAAGGCCAACCTATACCTGACTAAATCCAGGGGCTTAGGAACTTGTTCGCATTTCATTGCACTCCAACAGAGGGATATATATCGTAAGTGCATTTGGAGGTTTTCAGAAAGGAGCATGGAATTATCTCAAGTTGAAAAAAGAAAGAAATAAGAACACACATTCAAAAGTCCTCATAGATAACTCTTAAAAGTGAAGATATTTGATTTGGAAGAGAAAGCTATCACAGAATCGGGCGGTACACCACATCTTACTGGAAAAAAGATGATTCTTGAAGAGCTTAGAGGTCTTTAGTTTGACGTTGAAACCTTAATTTCAACTCACTTTGGCCAGAGTGGGCATTTTCACCGCACATAGTTTGCAACAGTAACCTTAGTATTCAACTTTTCAGTCTGAAGTTTCTACTTAGTATTAGATCGTATTATTAAATGTTTTGCTTAATCCAACATTTTGCAGAGATGAAAGGAAGATGTGATGTAAACTGTCTTTGGAGTCGGTATGTGTGCGTAAACTGTCTCTGTGCAGATTGGATCCAGAGCCGGTGAGAGAAAAGGAAACCACTCGTTTTTCTGTTTTTTTGCTTTGGTACTGATTTTTGGAATTACCAAGAAGGAGACAACTTGCCCTCAGGTTGGGAGAGATGAAGTTGTCCTAAATTATTGCTGAACAACTTTGAAGTTGTATCATGGAACTGTTGAAGGCCAGCTCTCTATGCTGCCATTTCTTGCTTCTTTTTTAGTGCAAAAGACACAGCATGATAGAGTATAATTCAAACCATCTTTAATACAAACCACAGAAGCATAAATAATTGAATAAAATCTGCAGTGGTTTTTTGAAATGCACCAGCAAATAAGTCTACAACATTTTTTCTCTCTTTTGGACTCATTCTAAGAAGTCTAAAGCTTGTGGTGAGGAAAGAAGTGAAGGAGACTGAGACTCGGTTTTGGCTGGCTTTAAGTGGGCCTGGCTTGCATGTGGTTAGGAGGAACCAATGCCCTGGCAAACCATGTGGAAATACTGTGCATCAAACACCAACAGGGCCAATGTAACACATAGCTTCTAGCCTGGCATATTTAGCTTTAACTTTATGATTGTACATTCTTGCTGTGTTTGTCGTGAACCAGAAAGTTCAGGTAAGGTTAAACCCATGTTAAAACCCAGATAATGTATGGAAGAATAACCAAAAGGAAAATGGGGCCAGTGAATATGGTAAAAATTTCCTTTTCTTTGTGGTACAATGGTGATATCCAAAAGTTAAAAAAAAAAATTTCTGCTCTTCAAACAAAGTGTTTTCTTATTTAAACATCTCCCAATGTGGAGATCACATTATCTAATCTCTAATCTAACTTTGGAGTTGGATTTTCTTAGGGGGAAGTGATTTATCTCCAGGCTGGCTCATTTTTTGCTCCTTGACCTTAGAGTGAGAAACCAAAACAAAGCCAAAAAAACCGGGGACTGAGCAAATTTACACATTAGCTGCACTTTTACATTGGACAAAAGAGAGGGCCACCACACACCTCATCTATGTCACAATAAACAAAGGCCCTAAAATTACTTGCAATTATATTATTACTTTAATAATAATTCAATTAAATCGTCATTATCAGAAGCAGATTATAGCAAAAGTAGAGCATGTCACTTACGCTATTGTCACTCGACCCTGACATGGGGTAGACCGTCCAGCCGAGTTCCGCTGTGGCTGTAGTGGAGTCCATAAGTGTCTCTGTGAAAAGAAGTAAGGAGAGACAGTGGTCAGATAATCTCCTGACAACATGAAAACATTGCTGCGGTTGAATGGAAACCACTTGAGTAATACAAACATTTTGAGAGGCAGAATATGAATTTACTCTATAAAATGTCAGGAAATAGTGTTATGTCCACTGAAAATTCCCAAATAACATCTTCACATTTTGTGTAACCAAGAGATAATTCAGCAATAAACTCACAAACAAAAACATATGGATGTAATTATCGACATTATAGTGATCTAGAGAGTTAGTCAATTAATAAACTAGTGGATTAGCAGATGAACAATTCTGATAATGAATTTATTGTTATTTACGGAGCAAAAATGCTGGTTCAAGCTTCTCCACTGAGAAAAAGTTTTTAAAAATTACATTTGTGTTTTTCTGGTAGTAAATTTAAGATGTCACCTTGAGCTTTGGGAAATTTCAGAGGAAACTTTTCACTATTTTGTGACATTTTATAGCCTAAACAATTATTCAAAAACATTGCTAGTTTGATAGCTAGTGGTTTAACAGGAGGTCAGTCACATCTTGGTCAACAGAACTATGCTATAACCCATATAACTTGTAGGGGAAACAACAGGATGGAAAAGTAAATCTCCACAGTACAGAGGAGGGGCCACCCTATATGCCATGGATTAGCTGGTGGAAAGAAACACCTCTGGTAATTGGGGTCAAAGGAAAAGTGCCTCCCGTCTGTCATGAGGTCCTCTGTGGCACACATTCCACCAGCCTGACCCAACTGTCTGTCATATGCTTACTGAACCATTCACAGTGTCACCTTCTTCCCTCTTCTTACCCTCTGAACCCATGCCCTCATGCCCCCTTATCCATTCCGGACTTCATCTCTGCTTCTCTCCGTAGGTAAAAGAGGGGAAGTCTAATTAATTGCGCCTGCTGATTGGACAGGCTGTGTCAGTTGAGCTGCAGCAGATGGAGAGAGCATTCACCAGGTTCAAGGCGTCAGCTGCAACTCCAAAATGCCACAGAGGGATTTAGAGACCCCCTCGACAAACACAGCTACTAAGCTTAGCATAAGTCACAGCCAGCGACTGTAATAGAGGTCTGTTGAACAATTGCATGCTGCTGCGGCTCTTCATTAATACTGTGCTATGAACTGATTGAATTGGCGCTAATAGTGTGGGTTAACTGAAAGTAGATCCTAGTGAAGAAATTCATGAAATCAGATAACATGTAAAAGTTCTTTGTGAAATGTATTACGGATAATGAGTGAAGGAAACCAAAGATAGAGGATCTGAAGTTAGATCTCAGAGGATTCTGTTTAACTGCGTATGCAGCTCTCAGCCAGCTTGCAGGATATTTTAGAGACTTTCAGTTGTTTCATAACCCTGGATTTCCTCTGATTTATATTCCAGCAAAAGCCACAGCTTTTAATTAACAGGCTCCACACACATCGGTGTATTTCAGGGCCTTCTGCTGACTTTCAGCGTCTCACCAGTACTCACAAGGCATAATACTAGATTTCACATCCTATTCAGTTATCACAAAGCCCAAATCGTATAATTAGGCAGATGAGACTGCAATTGAGCAGCTATTGATAACCTTGTGTGTGACTCAGAGCAGAGCAGCCTACATGGGTGTTAGGCAGTGAAATGGTAATTATCCTCCATAATGATAACGATAATTAGTGGAGGAGTAAAGTGAGAATAATGAACCCCCTCTGTGGTGGTTTAAGGAGTGTTGTGGGGGAACAGGGAGTGAATTTCTGCAAGAATGTTAACAGACTGGGTGACACCCCACCTCTCACCCATCTTTTTCTTTCTCCTTTTCTGCCTTTTTCTATATACTTTCTCTTAAGTTTGTCCTGTTCTAAACTCATTCTCTTTCTTCTCTTACAAAGACCTTCCTCCCTCTTTTCCCTTCTCTTTCATGCTCTGTCTTTCCTGCTATCAGCGGACCGCATGCTGGACAAGTAGTACCTCACCCTGAAAGACTGATCACTTTTCTTCCTCCTGCTGTCTACACTTCAGTCCTGGCAGCCACACCAATTCATTACCTCCCGTAGAGCAGAGCAGCACATAGCTCACCACTGTCAGCCACTTCCTCGTTCACAGTCTGAACCCCCAGCCGTGGCAGAGCATGCTGCTCAGCAAGACACGTTGGCTATTAATCAGGAGGAGGACAGGTTGCAGAGGCTCTCGTCTGAATCCAACCGAAGGCATCTCTTATTTTTGTTTTTTCTTGTGGTCACTTGTTTACAAAGTAAGCATTTGAATTTTTCCACTATCGGGACTGGCAGTGATGTCAAATGAGAAAGATTTGAGTGTAAAGGCACACTGTCCCACAGGCAACATCGTGTGTTTGTGGGTTTTGTCACAATCGGCAATACACTGTACCGTGTACAATAGACAATACGCCATATGTTGATATGGAGTACCAGATGTAATCAATCTGTATTTGTCTATTGTTTATGCCCTAAGGAAGACCCTGTGCGGTTCAAACCATTTTAAACCATTATACCAGAATAAAAGAAGTATGTTAAAAGAAGTAAGTAAGTTTTCTCCTTGCTCTGACGAAGAGTGTGAAGAGTACATTTTGTTTTCTGTGACCAGTTTTTGCAACTTCAAGAGCAACTGAAGCTGGACTTGCTGCATGTGAAAGCACTCGACCTGCAAATTCTGTTTGTTTTTGTTTTAGGTGCTATTTTTATTAATAAAAAAACCCACAGATTTTAATAATGCAAAAAACTGATAATTTACAGTTTACTAAGAGTTGCATAATCAGAAACTTGCCATTTCTCCCCATCCTTCTGTTCATTTTCGAATTACTTTCTAAGTTGAGCTGCGCTCAACAAATGGCAGCGTTGTTACTGCAGCTTTGGTAATTGCTTCATTTTGTAACCAACTGCATTTTACAGTATAAAACTGAAAAGGATTACTCTGAATTTTTCTCCACGATTCATTAAGAAAATATTTTGGTGCTTGCAGTTTGCTCATGCTTGATATAAAGCTGTGTAACCCGGTTTGTTTGCGTAATGAATTTGCCCAACACTAGAAAGTGTTGTTCATAAGGACACATCCGGTGCTCTAAGATCTGATGACAATTTCCAGCCTCTCAATTTCCACTTACAGCGGTAAGTGTCTCTGCATCATTTGTGTAGCAATGGAGAGTGATGCATAAAAATGTTTTAACTGTTTGAGCTCATGGGAAAATGGCCTCCACGCAGGCAGCTCTGCTTCACTGTCTACATGAACAAAAAAAATGTTTTAAATATGAAACATTAATGACCAAACCTTAATGTATTTTCTAAAATCAGAGAATATTAACAATATCACAGTAAATAATTAAAGCTTGGCTGTCTTTTTTTTTGTTCTCCTTTTAAACTTGATACCCTCTACTGTGGAGGGGGCTATGAATATGCAATGAGACCTAGGAGTCTAAGAAAAGCCTACTAGGCTGAGAGTGCTTCCTCCAACACTTCCTGAGACTAAGGAGAGAGTTTAGTGCTGATCTGAGAGAGAGCTCTCCAGTGAGAGGCTGTCTGAAGTGACAGAAGGGGGGAGAGAAGGGGGGCTGTGGTATTACAACAACACTCTTCTTCTCTAAGAGGGGTCAATGCTGCATCTCAGCTTTCTAAAGAAAGCAACAGCATTTTCAATGAGGGATACAGAGAAGAGCTGTTCACAGAAAAGACATTTCGGCTCAAACAACCACAGCGAGTTAGAAAATAAGCATTTTACACAGACACACACAAAGACTTCGGACTGAAAGTTATCTACAAGCCATTGTGTTGCTGAATTAATAAATGAAAGCATCACAACATATTGAGAGAGAATCTCTACTTAATATTAACATGCTGTGTATGCTGCATTTAAAATGTATTCATCCTTTTACATTCTCTGCACAAGGCACTGTTTGCTCCTGGATATATTATTTATTTGTCCTGTCAGCCTGTTTCTCAACATTTGCAGTTGGTTTACGATGATGACTGACCATCCAGACTTTGTCCAAAGGGTATTGAAACCGGGTTTTGACAGATGGATGGCCAATTAGTTAGAGCAAACAGACAGATTTCTGCAGTCTGAGTGATGGATGGAAATTTTCTCAACTGCTGTGGCTAATCTCTCAACTACATCTTCCAACTCGTACACCTTTTCTCCAGGCAGGGAATGCAACAAGTGCAGCTTTATTTTTTTGTCTTTTCTGTCTAAGTACATACAAGCTGATACATGCTACATTGTTAAATGGGTGACTTCTCTCAGCATGAGGAATCCAATTTGACAAATTTCTTTGCAACTTATTGCATCAGTATTGAGGAAAAACTCCGCATATAAATTACTCTGACATGGCGGTTCAAACCAGAATCAAAGAGAATATACCAATTTTCCAACAAACTAGCCTATATTTAGGTCCTACAGTTTAATGAGAGTATTTTGAAGAAGCAATTGACCTCCAAAACAGCGTGAAGCAGCTTAGAGGCATGACTTCTTTTTATCTTTCTCACCAGCAGAACTGAAGCCTCTGCTCTCTATGGAACAAATCCCTCAACATTCAATTTTGCATCGACATAAACCGCATATGGCGCTTTCCATGGCTGTGATAATGACGGCTAAAAGGGCTAAAAAGCAGCTAAACATTCTCCCTATAAACGCCGTGCTGGGTAATGTTCAGTTTAACCACTGCTGAAGGGCAAGTGCATTTACTGGCATTTCACCTGAAACCTTAGTATTTGATGGCAAATGTGGGAAGATTGTGGTATGCAGTACAGTTGCAGAGTAACATGAGCAAGCTGTTCATTGTGCTAAAAACAGAACCCTATATAGTGGACCCGGCACGGAAATCTGCCCAGATTAAGGGGCAAGGCAATGATATACCCCTGAGGGAGCCAGTGCAAGTGCAGAGACATGATTCATAGCTTTAATGATGGACAGGACTACTGTATGGCCGGCTGGAAAGAATAACAGTCTGTTTCATTTAGAAGGAAGAAGCGGATGGAGTCCCTGGTCCAAAGCAGCTC